CTCTGATCTCTCTCTCGTGTCCGGTTAGACTTCACTCGCGTTTATGTCCAAATCTATCAGATCTAGCTAGTTCTAGTTAATGATATGACTGCCTGCTTATCAAAGGACCTAAACAATAAGTGTTGCTTGGCAACGGCTTGTGGCTGCAAAGTATAGTGCAGCATTATGCATATGTTTATATGAGGGGTAAAAATCCCATGCTCATAAAATGCTCATATATTTGTTTCTCTTCATTCTCCACGCCCCAAAATAAATAAATAAATAAACACATTTTAGGAAAAGTTATGAAGTTTGAGCAGTGTGGGTTTTATATGAACAGAGTTACACATATTTCAAAACACAAAGTGTAATAACTGCAGGTGCCTCCCTGTCAGAATGACAAAGATCCTCAGTGAAGCACAAGCCCATGTTTCTCACTACATTGGAAGAACAACTTATTAAAAAGATCAGTTCAATGTAACTAATGTCGTCTCAGTGTTAGTGCATGATGTTCAAATTGGTTTGCCATGAATGTAGTGATGGATTGTAATCATTTGAAATGTAGCATTTAAGTGTTTCTCAGTTACAAGGTTGTTTTAATAAATCAGACACTGATGGGGCAAGGCTCAGGCTGTACTGTACCTCTTTGTATAGGCTTTTTGTCCCTAACAAATAGTGTTGGCGCTGATCAGGGGGTACTTGGCTGCATTTTTTTTTTTCAAAGGGGGAACATTATTGAAAAAAGTTTGAGAACCACTGCTTTAGTGCACCAAGTATGTCTCCATGTGTCTGCCTGAGCCTCCAGAGGCTCCTGGGGCTCCAGTCAGTACATACAGTGGCAATGTCTCAAGATTTAGCCAAATACAACTTTATTGAACTCACAGGAACACTACATACTGAGCTGGAGTTTCCTGAACATCGTCTTTTGGAGTGAGGACTCTCTTTGACCTCATTTGAATCTTCCTCTCTGAGACACACCTCGTTTACATCCTGACCCTGAGCCGGAGAACAGGTTCCTCTCCTCTGATCACACACTCAGAACCACACACAGGTTCCTCTCCTCTGATCACACACTCAGAACCACACACAGGTTCCTCTCCTCTGATCACACACTCAGAACAACACACAGGTTCCTCTCCTCTGATCACACACTCAGAACCACACACAGGTTCCTCTCCTCTGATCACACACTCAGAACCACACACAGGTTCCTCTCCTCTGATCACACACTCAGAACCACACACAGGTTCCTCTCCTCTGATCACACACTCAGAACAACACACAGGTTCCTCTCCTCTGATCACACACTCAGAACCACACACAGGTTCCTCTCCTCTGATCACACACTCAGAACCACACACAGGTTCCTCTCCTCTGGAGTCTGCTTCCTTCCTAGAACAGGATCAGTGCCCTGCAGGGCGATCACCTCCTGATCAAACTCAGTTATTGATCGATCTCGATCTCGATCTCGCACACACACACACACACACACACACACACACCACACACACACACACACACACACACACACACACACACACCACACACACACACACACACACACACACACAACACACACACCACACACACACACACACACACACACACACACACACACACACTACCACACACACACACACACACACACACACCACACACACACACACACACACACACACACACACACACACACACACACACACACCACCACAACACACACACACACACACACACACACACACACACACACCACACACACACACACACTACACCACACCACACACACACACACACACACACACACACACACACACACCACACACACACACACACACACACACACACACACACACTTCTGTTCGGGGACTTGAACCGGCGACCCTACGGCTCCCAGTCCCTACTGAGTGAGCCACTGCAGGGGGTCCTGAAGTTAACAGGTTGAACTCACCTCCCTGCAGGGGGTCCTGAGGTTAACAGGTTGAACCCACCTCCCTGCAGGGGGTCCTGAGGTTAACAGGTTGAACTCACCTCCCTGCAGGGGGGTCCTGAGGTTAACAGGTTGAACCTCACCTCCCTACAGGGGGTCCTGAGGTTGAACTCACCTCTCTACAGGGGGTTCCTGAGGTTGAACTCCACCTCTCTACAGGGGGTCCTGAGGTTGAACTCACCTCCCTGCAGGGGGTCCTGAGGTTAACAGGTTGAACCCACCTCCCTGCAGGGGGTCCTGAGGTTAACAGGTTGAACTCACCTCCCTGCAGGGGGTCCTGAGGTTAACAGGTTGAACTCACCTCCCTACAGGGGGTCCTGAGGTTGAACTCACCTCTCTACAGGGGGTCCTGAGGTTGAACTCACCTCTCTACAGGGGGTCCTGAGGTTGAACTCACCTCCCTGCAGGGGGTCCTGAGGTTAACAGGTTGAACTCACCTCCCTACAGGGGGTCCTGAGGTTGAACTCACCTCTCTACAGGGGGTCCTGAGGTTAACGGGTTGAACTCACCTCCCTACAGGGGGTCCTGAGGTTGAACTCACCTCTCCACAGGGGGTCCTGAGGTTGAACTCACCTCCCTGCAGGGGGTCCTGAGGTTAACAGGTTGAACTCACCTCCCTACAGGGGGTCCTGAGGTTGAACTCACCTCTCTACAGGGGGTCCTGAGGTTGAACTCACCTCTCTACAGGGGGTCCTGCTGTTAACAGGTTGAACTCACCTCCCTACAGGGGGTCCTGAGGTTGAACTCACCTCTCTACAGGGGGTCCTGAGGTTGAACTCACATCTCTACAGGGGGTCCTGAGGTTGAACTCACCTCTCTACAGGGGGTCCTGAGGTTAACAGGTTGAACTCACCTCCCTTGCAGGGGGGTCCGGTGCTGGCTGTGTTGGGCTCGGTACGCCTCGATCACCTCCCACTCCCCGCAGTCCTTCTTGATGGGGAAGTTGACGCTGAGCACGTGGTTGCACGGTTTGATGACCCTAAGGATCCCGCGCACGCGCTTCCTCTTCTGCTCCTGTGTCTCGCGCGTCTTCAGGCCCTCCACGAGCCGGTCCTCCACGATGGCGGCCCCGCGGTCGAAGAAGCCCTCCACCATGGAGAAGAAGTTCGGATCATCGCTGCTGTCCGCGGCCTGGCTGTAGGCGCGCGTGCCGCAGAGAGAGGCCCACGGGCCGGAGAGAGAAGCCCGGGGGAGCAGAGAGCCGAAGCACCGGTACATTATCGCTCTATTACGGAGGTTTAGAGCAGTTTAAAGAGTTCTGGAGGGAGAGCAGAGAGGAAGATCTGCGGGGAAACACTCACTATCCCGCAGCACGAGCTCCGCCTCCTGCCGCACCTCCTGCCGCGCGTGCGTGACAACCTGTGCGCGTGCGGGTGCTCGTGCAGCTATATGTATTTAAAGTGTAGGCACGACTCGCACGAGACCGTTTATAAACAAACTGCTGTAACCCGGAAATGTGATGCTAAACTTTAGCTAAACTTTAGCTAAAGTTGAGCTACAGCCTGTTTCTCGCCGTCCCTGAGACGCAGAGCGTGGACATAAACCGACACAGAAGTGTAGAAAGTGAACATTATATGGCATATATGTGTATTTTATACTTATGTGACATGTTTTCAGTATGTTTGTGTTGTTTTAAATGAGCGCTGAGCTAGCGAGAGTTGCTGCAAAGGACGCTTCCGGTTGGCAAAATAAAAGCATATTAACACAACTTTTCTTCATTCATTTAACTATTTAGTTTAATACGGAATATACACTCAAATAAACGGCTCAAGACCATTTAATTGTTTCTTCAACCAATCAATATTTAACCGTATGATTTTAATAAACAATAAGTTGGGGCTCTTATGTTGAAATCCAAAGGTTTTTACTGGCTAATTTTAACTTCCTGCCATGCGGGTTCCCGTCACCGCCTCGGGAGCGCGCCTCGGTAAAACCCAAGTGTGTGTGTGTGTGCGCGTGCGTGTGTACTTCACAAAGGTAAGGAGAATAATTCCAAAATAATGTAAATATTTATAAACAATATTAAAATATCCAAAAATAATAGTGATATTAAATCCTCAGACATGTTTTCCCTTTGAAAACTTTTTTTTCTCTTCTTTGGAGAATAAATGCCTTTCTTTAAATCTGTATTCAACCCCCTCCCCCCCCCCCATGCTGAACCTCCCCATCATCCTGCCCCCTGATTGGTCGAGCCGTGTTATTGCTCCCAGCTGTGAAACACCCATGATGGAAGCATGTTGGGCTGTTTCTGCCGAGTCATGGTTATAAATCCAGATGTTGTTATGAAGCGCTGAGAGGATCTTTATTTAAGCTGAAAGTATTTAGATTAAAAACTGTATGAGAAAAACACAAAATACAAAAACCTCAAATGTCTTATTTTAAATAAAGTCTAACTTCTTTCTCTTGAATAAACTCCTGTAGTCTCTCTGCGGTCGGTATGTCTGACCGTCAGAAGATCCACGTGTTCCTGGGGGCTCCTCCGACGACCCGCGGCCCAGCATCAGGGCCTCCAGCTGGGGGAGAGGAGGAGCGGAGACCCCCTGCTGACTGGAGACCCCCTGCTGAATGGAGACCCCCTGCTGACTGGAGACCCCCTGCTGACTGGAGGCCCCCTGCTGACTGGAGGCCCCCTGCTGACTGGAGACCCCCTGCTGACTGGAGACACCTGGAGCTCCGCTGGCAGGACGGACACCTGAAGGCAGCACCAGGTGAGAACAATTTAGGATTTGCTAAAAAACTTCAATAAAATAATTTGCTAAAATAAATGACACTAAACATTTTTTTTTTTAATTTGCACAAAATAAAGTTTGGATTTAGTTAAAATATTTAAATGAATTCTCCAAACTGAACGGGGAAAATAAAACGATTTCCTCTCTGTTTTTCAGACGTGACAGGAAGTCGTCTGCCTGAGGAAGCGATCGTCCCGGAGAGCGAAGAACCTTTTACTTTACGGAGCGATGAGACGGATCAGGAACACAGGAAGCCTGAATCTGATTGGACGACAGAGGAAGACCCCCGACAGGAAGTCCAGTGTTCGGCTTCGGTTCTGGAGTATCTGGACAGCTGTTTCTCTGCACACCGCTCCCCCCGGACTCCTCTCTCCACACACACTCACTTCCTGTCCACCTGGACGCTCAGTCAGGCCTTAATCCTGAAAGGCAGGCACGCCGTCCAATCAGCATTCAGCCCTGAGAGAACTCTGCCTCCTCAAGCCCCGTCTGAAAATGTGTCACTTCAAGCTCCGCCTCTTCAAACCCTAGCCCCTCAAATACTGCCTCCTCAAACTCCGCCTCGTCAAACCCCGTCTACTCAAACTTTGTCACCTCAAGCTCCGCCTCTTCAGACCCTATCCCGTGAAATACGCCATTCCCAAGCCCCGCCTCCTCAACGTTTTCCTCCTCAAACCCCGCCCCTTCAAACCCCACCTCCGCAAACCCCGCCTCCTCAACTTCTGCCCCCTCAAATACCCCATTCACAAACTCCGCCTCCTCTATCTCAAGCCCCGCCTCTTCAAACCCCGCCTCCTCAAGCCACGCCTCCCTCGATGTCCTCCAGCACCCCGGAGCTCTTCAGCCCTTTGAGTTTGTCTCCTTTAGCGTCTTCCCTGGAGCTCTTTAGCGCCCCCTGCTGGACGGAGGGTGGTGTAGTGGTTGAGGTAACCCCCGACGGCGTGCTGATGTCCCAGAATGCCGAGCGGCGAGACTCCCCCTCCAAATCCCCGGACAAAAAGAGAGCTCGGATCTCAGAAACCCCCAAATCCCGAGGCGGTCCCACCCTCCTGAACGAGTGTGCCCTTCAGGGGGGTCGCTACTCGGTACTGGTGGCCGTGGTGCACCCCTCCCACCTGAAGGAGATCAAGGTGGGTGGAGCCGCTACGACACGTCGTCCACCGAGGGGTTCAGTGCTTGTTTCTGAATCAGGTGTCTTCTTCGTTGGTGTCTACAGGTGAGGTCGGGGTCCTGCGTTCCTCTGGCCTCCATCGTGGTGACGGACCAATCAGGAGTGGAGATGAAGGTGGTGCTGTGGAGGCGGGCGGCTTTCTGGGCGCTGACCGTCACCCCCGGGAGAAATCCTGCTCATCACAGGTAACAAACACACTGATAAACAAACAACCAGGTAAACAAACAACCAGGTAAACAAACACACTGGTTTATAAACAACCTCCAGACCTTCATTTAATTTTCCAAAAAAATTAAATGTAGAAATAATTATTTGGATTTTCTAACAAAAAAATTGCAAATATTTTAATTTGTTCAAAACTTTTGGATTTTGATAAAAAACACTTAGGGAGGCGCCCAGGTGGCATCCTTACCAGGTGGCATCCTTACCAGGTGGCATCCTCACCAGGTGGCCTTCTTACCAGGTGGCATCCTTACCAGGTGGCATCCTTTCCAGGTGGCATCCTCATCAGGTGGCCTTCTTACCAGGTGGCATCCTTACCAGGTGGCATACTTACCTGGTGGCATCCTCACCAGGTGGCATCCTTACTAGGTGGCATCCTTACCAGGTGGCATACTTACCTGGTGGCATCCTCACCAGGTGGCATCCTCACCAGGTGGCATCCTTACTAGGTGGCATCCTTACTAGGTAGCATCCTTACCAGGTGGCATCGTTACTAGGTAGCATCCCTACAAGGTGGCATCCTTACCAGGTGCCTGAACCACCTCAACTGAGGGTTACCTTGAGGCACCTAAGACCTTGAGACCACAGCTCCCCCGGCTTCAGCAATAGAGGCTTTGAACACCGCCCAATCTGGTTCAATGTCCCTCCACAGGGATGCCTGTAAAGGTCCGCCGGAGGTGTGAGTTGAAGGCCTCCTGGACTTGGGACTCCTCCTGGACTTGGACTCCTCCTGGACTTGGGACTCCTCCAGACGTTCCCAGTTCACCCGCACTTACCAGGTCTATCCAGAGGCTTCCCCTGCCACTCAACCCAACTCACCACCAGATGGTGATCAGTTCTCCGCCCCTCTCTTTACCCGAGTGTCCAAAACATACAGCCTCAGGTCCGATGATACGATAACAACATCGATCATGGACCTTCTGCCCAGGTTGCTCTGGTACCACATACACTTATGAGCATCCTTATGTTCGAACATGGTGTTTGTTATGGCCAATCCATGACTAGCACAGAAGTCCAGTAACAAACCACCACTCTGGTTCCTCCCAATCAAGCCCCTCCAAGTGTCTCCATCACTGCCCACATGTGCATTGAAGTCTCCCAGCAAGATTAAGGAGTCCCCTTCAGGAGCCCCATACAGGACTCTGTTCAGGGTCTCCAAGAAGGCCGTATACTCTGAACTGCTGTTTGGTGCATAAGCACACACAACAGTCAGAGTTTTCCCCCCCATAACCCGCAGGCGTAGGGAGGCGTCCCTCTCGTCCACTGGGGTAAACTCCAACAAAGCAGCACCCAACCGGGGACTTGTGAGTATCCCCACACCCGCCCGGCGCCTCACACCTTGGGCAACTCCGGAGAAGAAGAGAGTCCAAGCCCTATCAAGAAGTAAGGTTCCAGAGCCGACGCTGTGCGTAGAGGTGAGCCCAACCAGATCCAACTGGTAACGCTCCACCAGATCCAACTGGTAACACTCCACCAGATCCAACTGGTAACGCTCCACCAGATCCAACTGGTAACGCTCCACCAGATCCAACTGGTAACTCTCCACCCAGATCCAACTGGTAACTCTCCCACCAGATCCAACTGGTAACTCTCCACCAGATCCAACTGGTAACTCTCCACCAGATCCAACTGGTAACACTCCACCAGATCCAACTGGTAACTCTCCACCAGATCCAACTGGTAACGCTCCACCAGATCCAACTGGTAACTCTCCACCAGATCCAACTGGTAACACTCCACCAGATCCAACTGGTAACTCTCCACCAGATCCAACTGGTAACTCTCCACCAGATCCAACTGGTAACGCTCCACCAGATCCAACTGGTAACGCTCCACCAGATCCAACTGGTAACGCTCCACCAGATCCAACTGGTAACGCTCCACCAGATCCAACTGGTAACTCTCCACCAGATCCAACTGGTAACACTCCACCAGATCCAACTGGTAACGCTCCACCAGATCCAACTGGTAACTCTCCACCAGATCCAAACTGGTAACTCTCCACCAGATCCAACTGGTAACGCTCCACCAGATCCAACTGGTAACGCTCCACCTCAACTTACCTCCAGATCCAACTGGTAACGCTCCACCAGATCCAACTGGTAACGCTCCACCAGATCCAACTGGTAACTCTCCACCAGATCCAACTGGTAACGCTCCACCAGATCCAACTGGTAACGCTCCACCAGATCCAACTGGTAACGCTCCACCAGATCCAACTGGTAACTCTCCACCAGATCCAACTGGTAACGCTCCACCAGATCCAACTGGTAACGCTCCACCAGATCCAACTGGTAACTCTCCACCAGATCCAACTGGTAACGCTCCACCAGATCACCAGATCCAACTGGTAACTCTCCACCAGATCCAACTGGTAACGCTCCACCAGATCACCAGATCCAACTGGTAACGCTCCACCAGATCCAACTGGTAACGCTCCACCAGATCCAACTGGTAACGCTCCACCATATCCAACTGGTAACGCTCCACCAGATCCAACTGGTAACGCTCCACCTCCCGCACAAGCTCCGGCTCCTTCCCCCCCAGAGAGGTGACCTTCCACTGGGTCTGGTCCGTCGAGACCCTCTGCTTTCACTGCCTCCCTTCTGGCACCCGACCCCATTGCTGGTTCCCGTCGGAGGTGGAGAGCCCGCGGGACGTAGAAGCGGAGATGAGCCTGGCCACCAGACGCTCGCCGACGAGTCCTCCTTCTGGGCCTGGCTCCAGAAGGAGGACTCGGGTATCCTCACTTCTTATGATGTTTTTCATGAGGTCTATGAACCAGTCTTAGTCTGGCCCCTTGCCTGAGGCCAATTCACCATGGGAGACCCTAGCAGGAACACAAGGCTCCAGACAACACAGAGCCAGGTTCACCGGGGCTCACAAACCTCTCCACCACGATAAGGTGCTGGTTCTTCAGAGAGGGCAAAAAAAAAAAAAAAAAAAAAAATGTAATTGATAAAATAATAATTTGAATTTTGCTTAAAACTTTTTTAAATTGTTGTTGTTGTTCAGCTCTGCAGGTGAACGAGGACAAGTGGAGAGGAGAGACGGTGCTGCAGTCCACCTTCAGCAGCAAACTGCTCAACATGGGAAACATCGCTGACTCCGCCTCCCCGACAGGTACGACTGGACTACACCTTGACCAATCAGAAGCCTCCCCGCTGATAACAAGATCAAATGAATGTTTTTCTAAATATCTATGAGATAAGAGGGAACTTTATTTATCCCCTTGGGAGATGCAGTTAATAGCAGCAACAGCTCAGAGTAACAAACAAGGTACAAAATGAAGATAAAATAGAAATTAAAATAAGAATACAGCAAAAATAAAGTGATAAAGTTACTATTGAAACAAGATATCACAGTAAACAGTTGTGCATTTGTATGAACATGTTAAATATAGATAAATATGATCTCCCCCTCTGTCTCTCTCTCTCTCTCTCTCTCCTCTCTCTCCTCTCTCCTCTCTCTCTCTCTCTCTCTCTCTCTCCTCTCTCTCCTCTCTCTCTCTCTCCTCTCTCTTCCTCTCTCTCTCTCTCTCCTCTCTCTCTGCTCTCTCTCCTCTCTCTCTCTCGTCTCTCTCTCTCTCTCTCTCTCTCTCTCTCTCTCTCTGCAGTTCCTCAGCAGGTGAGTTCTGGCTCGCTCCTCTCTCTCTGCAGCTACCTGCGGGAGCGACGCCCCCTTCTGGTGTCTCAGAGGCTCCACCCCCCTCAGGACCCGAGGCTCCGCCCCCCTCAGGACCCGAGACTCCTACCCTACGCCAACCCTGAGGGTCACCTGAGGGTCAACACGCTGGTGCACGCCCTGCTGGCGCGTCACACACACCACACCTGAGTACAGGTGAGGGTTCAGGAATCGCCACACACACACACACACACCTGAGTGAAAACACCGTGTTTTTGAGTTGGTCCCTGAAGGCAGCATCTCTCTGGTCCAATGGGATTAACAAAACTCAAGGATTTGCAATTATTTTTTACGATGCTTAAACATTTTATTAAAAGAATAATAATTTAGAATTTTCAACAAAAAAAAAATGTTCTCAACAAAATTTCTTTTTTCCCAAACAATTTTTGGGATTTGAAAAAAAGTGTTCGTAAAAAATAAGGATTTGGATTTTTAAAACGTTTGAATTTGCAACAAATTTGGGATTTGCTACTTAAAATATATAAATATATAATTAAGAATTTGTGAACAAAAATATTTGAGGAATATTTTGATTTGCTAAACAACCCTTGATTTCAACACGCTGGTGCAAGCCCTGCTGCGCGTCACACACACACACACACACACACACACACACACACACACACACACACACACACACACACACACACACACACACACACACACACACACACACACACACACACACACCTGAGCACAGAGAGCTCAGTGATCACCGTGGGTGTTTCTCAATGTCGAGGACGCTTGCTTGGTAGCACATGTCTGCCGAGCATCTTGCTTCAGAAGCGAGTCAAGAATACTTCTTCCTGGCATTCAGAAAACAAAGAGTGGAACAGGCTAGCAAGTGTGCAGGTGTGCGTCATATGAGAGGCCCCGCCTCTTACATCTTCCGCCACAGATTTGGGGAAATTGGTCCGTGCGCAAAGCATTGTGGGGATTTTAAGACCCGCGGAGTCTACTCATGTGCAGCCTCTAAATTTCTCGCTACGAAGTAGCCGAATCAAATCAGTTACTGATTTGATTCGGTAACTGATTTTTTTTTAGAAATAAGACAGACTTACCTTCACAGATTGGCACAGAGGACCATGTTCAGTTTATACACCGCGCTGTGGCGTCACGGTCTTTGTGTTCATATCCTTCGTCACATCTTACCCAGAGTTTCTCTCTCTCCCCATACCAACCATCTGTGCTTGCATCGTAGTTTCCATTTGGGATAGTCAGTGGCAAACAGGCTTTTTCATCTGAGTTGAAAAATAAATTAATACAATTTGAAATAAAGTGCAGCACACGACAGGTCCTATGCATTGTCCTTTAGTCAGTGGACGTTAGGGCCCCCAAAGACTCAAGATCAACAATGAAGAAGAAAATTATACCATCTCAGTCTTTACATTTTTAAGTGAACAATATCTTTTAAAGGTGGGGTAGGTAATTCTCTTCAGAAACACTTTGTGTTATATTCCATGGAATGCTCTTAACATCCTGATAGCAATGAATATCTTAAGTGCTTTGACAATAAATCCATAAATAAATCTCATCAGTGGAAGCTGTGGTACTGTAAAAAGCACGACCAATCATCTGAGCCGGCCCGGCTAAAATAACTGGATGGCCTACCTGCCTGTCAGCCTTCCATCTGTGCACAAACTTATCTCGTGCCCTCATTGGTCATGTGCGCGTTCGTGTTGGAGGAGGGGCTCTGTGAGGAAGGGGCAGATTTTTTTCGGCTGCGTACTTTCAAATTCTAGCGCACTCGAGCTGGTTTCTCCATTCTTACCTACCCTACCTTTAAGGTTTTATTAAACCAAACATTATTGTTAAATTTAACCAGAACTCATATATTTATTTCATTGTTTTATATGAAATAAGTTCGGCACAAATGAACCAGCATCATTCAGAAATGAAAGGAGTCTTTGCCAACTCTTGAAATGTTATGCTAAAATATGTGTGTGCCACCGGGGTGTGTTGGTGTTTGTATAATTGATATCTGTGTGTTGGTGTTTGTATAATTGATATCTGTGTGTTGGTGTTTGTATAATTGATATCTGTGTGTTGGTGTTTGTATAATTGATATCTGTGTGTTGGTGACATTGCTGAAGATGGATGGAAACATTTTACAAAAAGCTGACTAATGTACAACAAATATATCATTAAAACAAATCTCTCAAGTAAGTGTCATACAGGTACAAAAGCAGGACATTATCCTTTGAATCCCAATCAGAATTAAATGAAAATAAATCTTTGGGTAGTACTGAAAGGTTTTCCAAAGTATAACACTGTAACTATAGAAACGTACCTATACATTGGGGTTTAGGAGACCAATTGCCATTTTGACACCTGCTGGTCCCCAACCCTTCACTGCTGGTTTAAGTCCGTCATGATTATAAGCTGATTGTCCAGGGGGAAAACCAGACTGGGAGCAGGACAAGGCTGAGCTGCACTTTGTGCTGAAATATAACCACAAACAAAACTGTCAAATAATATATATCCAGATAAATGAAGAAGTTTCTAAGCAACAAGTTGAATTCCCTTACCATGCAGCACTTCCAAACCAGGAGAAAAACTCAAAGATACCTCACGCACATTTCGTCAGGAATGAAATAATAATGCCAAAAGGGTTTCAGTTAAGATCAGGACCAGTTAATAATTGTTGAAGGCAATCAGCCAAAAAGCAAAGCAGTTAAGGAATAGTAAAGTTGAGTTAGGGTCATCATGCTGTGCACACAAACAGCCTCCGTGGACTTCAGTCAGATCGGTTGCATTTTACAAAAGCCCTTTGCATTGTTGAGATCAACAGCTGTTTTTATCATTATCCTGCTTTGGTTCACACATTCATTTCTTTTTACCAAATTAAATCCTAGTCCTCCAATATCTATGCTGAATATCATTTGGAATCATACCCCTTACTTATTTTGTGAAAACTGATTTGAAGTGAGCACTAGCTCTCTGTAATCTCCTGTTCAAGGACACATTTGATGCTGAGAAACATTCTGTATTGAGCTTCTTCTGCCGGCCATACGCTCCCAACCTCATGTTTTAATCATTTGTATCTACATCTGAAAGTTAGTATTGCAAATTACGATTGTGTTGTCAAACCAACTTTAAAGGTGCACTCCACTACCGACTGTATCTGAGTGTTGAATGCAGCGCTCGTTAAGTAAATAAAAGCAATTTGGCTTTGAATTATGGTCCAAGAGTTGATCAACTATGACTTCATTAATAATTCATTAATGATCAAATAGGAATATAATTGTCTTTTAAATAACGTAAACTAAAGGGAACAATCTGACACAGCTGAAGCTCTGGCCTTCCTTAAAAACAAAAACTAATTTCATAAAAATCACAGTTGTATTTCACACGATGCACTGTTTTTAGAGAACTACAAATCGTAACTAATGCACCATAATACAAACAATTATTATGAATACAAATTCAATAAAAGCAGCGTCCCGTGAGTTACTACAAGCTATAAAGTACATTTTAAAAACGTTTTATATAGTAGAAAACAACATTAAGCTCTCTGTGGGACGTTGCAGAAATGTGTGTGTCCACCACGACAAAGGATCCTCATTCCCTTTACGTTGGGGTTGTTTCCGTGACTCAACCACGTAATGCGGTGTTAAGCTAGCTACACACCAGCCCGATTTTGGGAGTCAGAGGCCGTCAGAGGCAGTCGGGCATTCGCGGCGCCCTACTCAGGTTGGTGTGTCACGCACCGTCGTCTCTTTACGGCACCTTTTCACACCTCAGGTCAGAGAAAGTCAGCCCAAGCAATCACTCTGATTGGCTGTTCACACTACCGCTGCCTGCTGGTAAGGACAGTTATTGCCACTCGTCGACTGAAGTATTTGCGATGTGTTCGTAGGCGGGCAGCGTAGCGGGCGGCGTAGCCGACGCAGGCGACGTAGCTGACGTAAACGTTGGGATGCCTTCGGTACGCGTTCTTTGGCCTCAGGTGGGTGTGTAGCGGCCTTTAAGGAGAAGTGTTAATTTCACGTATTTTGCTGAGACCAGGTTGGTATCATGGTTGGTACTGACACTCTCAGTACAGCGCCACTTTCCGAACAGGAAATGCACGCAAATACAATCTTTTATATTATTATTATTATTATTAATAATATATATATATAAATAAAGACCCCAGCTAGAAATGGAGCGAGAGAGAGACACACAGTAGAAACACACAACACATACACATACAAACACTAACAGGGGTTTCAGGGATGGGCAGTGACAGTCGGTCCGTTCTTCTATATGTCTGTCGGTCTCAAATATAAAGGGTGCAATAACGATTTTTAACCAATATCCATAAACAGCGGACACTGTTTATACGCAGCCCTCACAAACCACACACGGCCAGATAGCTTATCTAACAGTTAGAACCTACATACGAGACACAACCTTTATAGTCAGAAAAAAGTGTGATTATTTTCTGATATTTTACACACATGATATTATGAATACTGTGGGCCTACATACCTTAGTGTGATTATAAGTGCATGTGAGTGAATGTTGGCATGCATACATTCGTTTTTATACGTCCTATTCATTGTCTCAATGCGCTCATACATCTTAAGAAAGTTATCAAAAACATCTTAAGAAAGTTATCAAAAACATCTTAAGAAAGTTATCAAAAACATCTTAAGAAGGTTATCAAAACCATCTTAAGAAAGTTATCAAAAACATCTTAAGAAAGTTATCAAAAACATCTTAAGAAGGTTATCAAAAACATCTTAAGAAGGTTATCAAAAACATCTTAAGAAGGTTATCAAAAACATCTTAAGAAGGTTATCAAAAACATCTTAAGAAAGTTATCAAAACATCTTAAGAAAGTTATCAAAAACATCTTAAGAAGGTTATCAAAAACATCTTAAGAAAGTTATCAAAAACATCTTAAGAAGGTTATCAAAAACATCTTAAGAAGGTTATCAAAAACATATTAAGAAAGTTATCAAAAACATCTTAAGAAGGTTATCAAAAACATATTAAGAAAGTTATCAAAAACTTCTTAAGAAGGTTATCAAAAACTTCTTAAGAAAGTTATCAAAAACATCTTAAGAAGGTTATCAAAAACATATTAAGAAGGTTATCAAAAACATCTTAAGAAGGTTATCAAAAACATCTTAAGAAGGTTATCAAAAACATCTTAAGAAGGTTATCAAAAACATATTAAGAAGGTTATCAAAAACATCTTAAGAAAGTTATCAAAAACATCTTAAGAAGGTTATCAAAAACATCTTAAGAAGGTTATCAAAAACATCTTAAGAAGGTTATCAAAAACATCTTAAGAAAGTTATCAAAAACATCTTAAGAAGGTTATCAAAAACATCTTAAGAAGGTTATCAAAAACATTTAAGAAGAAGTTATCAAAAACATATTAAGAAGTTATCAAAAACTTCTTAAGAAGGTTATCAAAAACTTCTTAAGAAGGTTATCAAAACATCTTAAGAAGGTTATCAAAAACATATTAAGAAAGTTATCAAAACTTCTTAAGAAGGTTATCAAAAACTTCTTAAGAAAGTTATCAAAACATCTTAAGAAGGTTATCAAAACATATTAAGAAGGTTATCAAAAACATATTAAGAAGGGTTATCAAAAACATCTTAAGAGGTTATCAAAAACATATTAAGAAGGTTATCAAAAACATCTTAAGAAGGTTATCAAAAACATCTTAAGAAGGTTCAAAAACATCTTAAGAAGGTTATCAAAAACATCTTAAGAAGGTTCAAAAACATCTTAAGAAGGTTATCAAAAAACATCTTAAGAAGGTTATCAAAAACATCTTAAGAAAGTTATCAAAAACATCTTAAGAAGGTTATCAAAAACATCTTAAGAAGGTTATCAAAAACATCTTAAGAAAGTTATCAAAAACATATTAAGAAAGTTATCAAAAACTTCTTAAGAAGGTTATCAAAAACTTCTTAAGAAGGTTATCAAAAACATCTTAAGAAGGTTATCAAAAACATATTAAGAAAGTTATCAAAAACTTCTTAAGAAGGTTATCAAAAACTTCTTAAGAAAGTTATCAAAAACATCTTAAGAAGGTTATCAAAAACATATTAAGAAGGTTATCAAAAACATATTAAGAAGGTTATCAAAAACATCTTAAGAAGGTTATCAAAAACATATTAAGAAGGTTATCAAAAACATCTTAAGAAGGTTATCAAAAACATCTTAAGAAGGTTATCAAAAACATCTTAAGAAAGTTAGAACAACATTCCTAGAACAACGAATGGTAACAAACATTTCTAGCGGGGAACTCACACATGCCACCGCAAACATGCAATATCTGCTTACAGCTTATCATGAATTAAGTGCTTGTTTGTTTTTTTCAAAAGGAAAATATGGTGACATCAGATTTTTTAAAACATCCTTTTCAAACAAATGCAACAAGTTTGTTTTTTAAAGCGCTCTAGAATAAATCTGCCGTTGACCATGACCGTGTTAATATTTGCCATCACAGGAACGTTTTATAAAAAAAGAATAACATCCTGAAAACATCATCCGAATGTTTCTTGGAGAATGTTCTTCTTTGGTTATCATGTACCATTCAGGGAACGTTTTATAAAGAACATCTTTAATGTGTTACCCAACAACGTCCAAAACACATCCTCTGAATGTTGCAGGCAAAACGTTCCACCTTTTATTAACATATCACATTAAAGGAACGTTTCTATCATCTCAGGCCTCAATAACATCCTCAAAACATCCTCTGAATGTTGCAGTTAAAACGATATGTCTTAGTTAACCTTAAACCTTAAAGGAACATTATTTGAAATAATAAACATCCTAAAAAGGTTCTTTGAACATCAGATGAAAACGTTTCTTTAAAACCTTATTAGAACCTGTTGGTAACGTTAGCCAAAGTTGTGAGAACGTTCCCCGCTAGCTGGGACATCTTGTATTTTAGTTACACCCGCTATTGATTAATTTAGTCAACATTGGACCTTGACACCGTCCACATAGCTATAGTGAAATAATATAATAGAAAACATTAAGCGTCTTTGATTTAATAATGGGAGCTGAAGCCTCTCTGCCGTCTAACGCACACTCCCTTATTTATCTTTGAATAATAACGTCAGAATAAAGACGACTATACCACGGTCCTTCGGTCCTGAGATTAGCGCCTGCAGGCTCCATGGACCTGTCAGCTCCGGACAGCGCACAATGCGTACATGAAGCGCTACGTCATGAACGCAAGAAATCATACCCTCGTGGGGGCGCGCTCATGTGATTGGCTTAGAATGGAGGAGACATCTGATTGGCTATAGATAGAAAATATTACAAGTACGAATCTGGTGACCGTCAGGGGAGTCTCAAAAAACCCACACAGCATGCACAGAAAGCACAGAGAGCGGGTTGTGTGCAGGTGCAGAGGTTTAAAGCGGAAAACAAATATGTGAGGATCAAAAATACATATTTAAAACTTTTTTCTGTATTTGGATTTTATTTACATGAATATGAGACGGAACACATTTGTGTGGGCTTTGAAAAACACAAGTGTGGATCCTTCAGTGTGCACGTGTGGATCCTTCAGTGTGCACGTGTGGATCCTTCAGTGTGCACGTGTGGATCCTTCAGTGTGTGGTCATGTGTGTGGATCCTTCAGTGTGCACGTGTGGATCCTTCAGTGTGCACGTGTGGATCCTTCTGTGTGCACGTGTGGATCCTTCAGTGTGCACGTGTGGATCCTTCAGTGTGCACGTGTGGATCCTTCAGTGTGCACGTGTGGATCCTTCAGTGTGCACGTGTGGATCCTTCAGTGTGCACGTGTGGATCCTTCAGTGTGCACGTGTGGATCCTTCAGTGTGCACGTGTGGATCCTTCAGTGTGCACGTGTGGATCCTTCAGTGTGCACGTGTGGATCCTTCAGTGGTGCACGTGTGATCATGAGACTGATCTGAGACCATAGTTTAAACGTGTTTTGTGTTCAGCGTGGCGCAGCGAGGCTCAGTCCTGCCTCCGGTCAGCTCTGCAGCAGCAGGGGGTGCTGAGGGTGCAGCAGCATGACGCCCAGCAGGGGGCGCTGCTGCTGCTGTGGGGAACAGCTGTGGACTGGCTGCCGCGCTTCAGAGACAAAGGTACAAATACACAGAACATAATACCAGCAGATATCCTGTTTGGAACCTTTATGTTCCTTTTATTTGTAATTGTTAATTCTCTTCTTTCCACTTTTCCAAGTATTTTAAGTATTGTGTTGTATTATAAAATCTACCGACCGACCGACCGACCGACCGACCGACCGACCGGCCGAACGACCGACCGACCGACCGGCCGAACGACCGACCCGACCGCCGAAACGACCGGACCGAACGACCGAGCCGCCGACCGACCGACCGAACCGACCGACCGAACGACCTACCGACCTACCTCCGAACGACCTACCGACCTACGACTCCCTAGCCTACCGAACTACCGACCGACCGACCGACCGACTTTACATTTTGGATTGTTTATTTCTAGTCTTTTAATTTCTCTAATGTGCAACGCCTTGTCTTTTGATGCTGCAACGCAAACATTTCCCAATTTGGGATCAATAAAGTACTTCTTATCTGATCTTATGAATTAACCCTCGTCCAGCGGCGGTCTGGGACTTCCAGGCCCTCCTGGTGAGGGACAGTTTGACCTCTGACCTCCTGGAGCTGCACTCGACCCCCTGGAGCTCCGTCCGGCCTCTCGACCAATCAGATCCCCGTCTGAAGGCTTTCCTGCAGAAACCAGAGCTCCCAGCAGGGGGTCTGGAGCTGGACCTGGACACCCTGCTGTCCCAGAAGTACAGCGGTGAGCTTGGGATGAAATGTTAAAGGTCTCCTATTGTACGGTTTTTAGGCACGAGCACAGCTCTCAGATATAAGGACATGTCTCTGAAGTGTCCTGCTCCAAACCCCAAACAGATCCTTGTAGCCCCCCCCCCTCTCTCTTCCAGCTGTTACTAAGGACATGTCTCTGAAGTGTCCTGCTCCTAACCCCAACCAGATCCTTGTAGCCCCCCCCCCCTCTCTCTTCCAGCTGTTACTAAGGACATCTCTCTGAAGTGTCCTGCTCCTAACCCCAAACAGATCCTTGTAGCCCCCCCCCCCCCTCTTCCAGCTGTTACTAAGGACATGTCTCTGAAGTGTCCTGCTCCTAACCCCAAACAGATCCTTGTAGCCCCCCCCCCCCTCTCTTCCAGCTGTTACTAAGGACATCTCTCTGAAGTGTCCCGCTCCCAACCCCAAACAGATCCTTGTAGCCCCCCCCCCCTCTCTTCCAGCTGTTACTAAGGACATGTCTCTGAAGTGTCCTGCTCCTAACCCCAAACAGATCCTTGTAGCCCCCCCCCCCTCTCTTCCAGCTGTTACTAAGGACATCTCTCTGAAGTGTCCTGCTCCTAACCCCAAACAGATCCTTGTAGCCCCCCCCCCCTCTCTCTTCCAGCTGTTACTAAGGACATCTCTCTGAAGTGTCCTGCTCCAAACCCCAAACAGATCCTTGTAGCCCCCCCCCCCCTCTCTTCCAGCTGTTACTAAGGACATGTCTCTGAAGTGTCCTGCTCCAAACCCCAAACAGATCCTTGTAGCCCCCCCCCCCTCTCTCTTCCAGCTGTTACTAAGGACATGTCTCTGAAGTGTCCTGCTCCAAACCCCAAACAGATCCTTGTAGCCCCCCCCCCCTCTCTTCCAGCTGTTACTAAGGACATGTCTCTGAAGTGTCCTGCTCCTAACCCCAAACAGATCCTTGTAGCCCCCCCCCTCTCTCTTCCAGCTGTTACTAAGGACATGTCTCTGAAGTGTCCTGCTCCAAACCCCAAACAGATCCTTGTAGCCCCCCCCCCCCCTCTCTTCCAGCTGTTACTAAGGACATGTCTCTGAAGTGTCCTGCTCCAAACCCCAAACAGATCCTTGTAGCCCCCCCCCCCTCTCTTCCAGCTGTTACTAAGGACATGTCTCTGAAGTGTCCTGCTCCAAACCCAAACAGATCCTTGTAGCCCCCCCCCCCTCTCTTCCAGCTGTTACTAAGGACATCTCTCTGAAGTGTCCTGCTCCAAACCCCAAACAGATCCTTGTAGCCCCCCCCCTCTCTTCCAGCTGTTACTAAGGACATGTCTCTGAAGTGTCCTGCTCCTAACCCCAAACAGATCCTTGTAGCCCCCCCCCCTCTCTTCCAGCTGTTACTAAGGACATGTCTCTGAAGTGTCCTGCTCCAAACCCCAAACAGATCCTTGTAGCCCCCCCCTCCCTCTCTTCCAGCTGTTACTAAGGGCATGTCTCTGAAGTGTCCTGCTCCAAACCCCAAACAGATCCTTGTAGCCCCCCCCCCCCCCCTCTCTCTTCCAGCTGTTACTAAGGGCATGTCTCTGAAGTGTCCTGCTCCAAACCCCAAACAGATCCTTGTAGCCCCCCCCTCTCTTTCCAGCTGTTACTAAGGACATGTCCTCTGAAGTGTCCTGCCTCCAAACCCCCAAACAGATCCTTGTAGCCCCCCCCCCTCTCTTCCAGCTGTTACTAAGGGCATGTCTCTGAAGTGTCCTGCTCCAAACCCCAAACAGATCCTTGTAGCCCCCCCCCCCCCTCCCCCCCCTCTCTCTTCCAGCTGTTACTAAGGACATATGTCCCTGAGTGTCCTGCTCCAAAACCCCAAACAGGTCCTTGTAGCCCCCCCCACTCTCTCTTTCAGCTGTTTACTAAGGACATGTCCCTGAAGTGGTCCTGCTCCAAACCCCAAACAGATCCTTGTAGCCCCCCCCCCCTCTCTTCCACAGCTGTTTACTAAGGAATGTCCTCTGAAGTGGGTCCTGCTCCAAAACCCCAAACAGACCCTTGTAGCCCCCCCCCACCTCTCTTCCAGCTGTTACTAAGGACATGTCTCTGAAGTGTCCTGCTCCAAACCCAAACAGACCCTTGTAGCCCCCCCCCTCTCTTCCAGCTGTTACTAAGGACATGTCTCTGAAGTGTCCTGCTCCAAAACCCCAAACAGATCCTTGTAGCCCCCCCCCCCCCCCACCCACCTCCCCCCCCTCTCTCTCTCCAGCTGTTTAATAAGGACATGTCTCTGAAGTGTCCTGCTCCAAACCCCAAACAGATCCTTGTAGCCCCCCCCCTCCCTCTTTCAGCTGTTACTAAGGACATGTCTCTGAAGTGTCCTGCTCCAAACCCCAAACAGGTCCTTGTAGCCCCCCCCCCCCCCCTCTTTCAGCTGTTACTAAGGACATGTCTCTGAAGTGTCCTGCTCCAAACCCCAAACAGGTCCTTGTAGCCCCCCCCCCCCCCCTCTTTCAGCTGTTACTAAGGACATGTCTCTGAAGTGTCCTGCTCCAAACCCCAAACAGATCCTTGTAGCCCCCCCCCCCCTCTCTCTGTCAGCTGTTACTAAGGACATGTCTCTGAAGTGTCCTGCTCCAAACCCCAAACAGGTCCTTGTAGCCCCCCCCCCCCCCCCTCTTTCCAGCTGTTACTAAGGACATGTCTCTGAAGTGTCCTGCTCCAAACCCCAACAGACCCTTGTAGCCCCCCCCCCCTCTCTCTTCCAGCTGTTACTAAGGACATGTCTCTGAAGTGTCCTGCTCCAAACCCCAAACAGATCCTTGTAGCCCCCCCCCTCTCTCTTTCAGCTGTTACTAAGGACATGTCTCTGAAGTGTCCTGCTCCAAACCCCAAACAGATCCTTGTAGCCCCCCCCCCTCTCTTCCAGCTGTTACTAAGGACATGTCTCTGAAGTGTCCTGCTCCAAACCCCAAACAGGTCCTTGTAGCCCCCCCCCCCCCCTCTTTCAGCTGTTACTAAGGACATGTCTCTGAAGTGTCCTGCTCCAAACCCCAAACAGGTCCTTGTAGCCCCCCCCCCCCCCTCTTTCAGCTGTTACTAAGGACATGTCTCTGAAGTGTCCTGCCTCCAAACCCCAAACAGGTCCTTGTAGCCCCCCCCCCCCCCTCTTTCAGCTGTTACTAAGGACATGTCTCTGAAGTGTCCTGCTCCAAACCCCAAACAGACCCTTGTAGCCCCCCCCCCTCTCTCTTCCAGCTGTTACTAAGGACATGTCTCTGAAGTGTCCTGCTCCAAACCCCAAACAGATCCTTGTAGCCCCCCCCCCCCCCCCTCTCTCTTCCAGCTGTTACTAAGGACATGTCTCTGAAGTGTCCTGCTCCAAACCCCAAACAGATCCTTGTAGCCCCCCCCCTCTCTCTTTCAGCTGTTACTAAGGACATGTCTCTGAAGTGTCCTGCTCCAAACCCCAAACAGGTCCTTGTAGCCCCCCCCCCCCCCCCTCTTCAGCTGTTACTAAGGACATGTCTCTGAAGTGTCCTGCTCCAAACCCCAAACAGGTCCTTGTAGCCCCCCCCCCCCCCCTCTTTCAGCTGTTACTAAGGACATGTCTCTGAAGTGTCCTGCTCCAAACCCCAAACAGGTCCTTGTAGCCCCCCCCCCCCCCCCTCTTTCAGCTGTTACTAAGGACATGTCTCTGAAGTGTCCTGCTCCAAACCCCAAACAGATCCTTGTAGCCCCCCCCCCCCCCTCTCTTCCAGCTGTTACTAAGGACATGTCTCTGAAGTGTCCTGCTCCAAACCCCAAACAGGTCCTTGTAGCCCCCCTCCCTCTCTTCCAGCTGTTACTAAGGACATGTCTCTGAAGTGTCCTGCTCCAAACCCCAAACAGATCCTTGTAGCCCCCCCCCCCCTCTCTTCCAGCTGTTACTAAGGACATGTCTCTGAAGTGTCCTGCTCCAAACCCCAAACAGGTCCTTGTAGCCCCCCCCCCTCTCTTCCAACTGTTACTAAGGACATGTCTCTGAAGTGTCCTGCTCCAAACCCCAAACAGGTCCTTGTAGCCCCCCCCCCCTCTCTTCCAGCTGTTACTAAGGACATGTCTCTGAAGTGTCCTGCTCCAAACCCCAAACAGATCCTTGTAGCCCCCCCCCCCTCTCTCTTCCAGCTGTTACTAAGGACATGTCTCTGAAGTGTCCTGCTCCAAACCCCAAACAGATCCTTGTAACCCCCCCCCTCTCTTCCAGCTGTTACTAAGGACGTGTCTCTGAAGTGTCCTGCTCCAAACCCCAAACAGATCCTTGTAGCCCCCCCCCCCCCTCTCTTCCAGCTGTTACTAAGGACATGTCTCTGAAGTGTCCTGCTCCTAACCCCAAACAGATCCTTGTAGCCCCCCCCCCCCTCTCTTCCAGCTGTTACTAAGGACATGTCTCTGAAGTGTCCTGCTCCAAACCCCAAACAGATCCTTGTAGCCCCCCCCCCCCCCCTCTCTTCCAGCTGTTACTAAGGACATGTCTCTGAAGTGTCCTGCTCCAAACCCCAAACAGATCCTTGTAGCCCCCCCCCCCCCTCTCTTCCAGCTGTTACTAAGGACATGTCTCTGAAGTGTCCTGCTCCAAACCCCAAACAGATCCTTGTAGCCCCCCCCCCCCCCTCTCTTCCAGCTGTTACTAAAGAGCTGACTCTGGGTCAGTAGCTTCAGAGAGAGAGTAGATCTCATCAGGAGAACTCTCCCAGCAGAAACTCAGCTAAATGCTGCCGTGACTAAACTCCATATCATGTTCCAAACCACATGAAGGATTCTCTCTGAAACAGCATGGAGCTCAAACTCTTTCTCTCTCTCAGGTTTACCACAAGGTGACTTCCTTTTGATTTCCTGCTTCTTCACACATGCTCTCTCCAGTACAGGTTAGCTCTGAGTGTTAGCATGCTAATGTAAACACAGACCATATTACTTCCAGAACACGTCTCATTGTTTCTGACAGCAGCGTTTCTGATTGGCCCGTGGGTGTAAAGCCCGCCCACGTTTTAGTCATGTGGTCATGACGCAGCAAATCTGGATCAGCTCCGTTGTTCCCCGTTTTTAGAGATGTGGGTACGGAGGAAAAGAGAGAGGGGTTTGTTTCCTGACACTTTGAGAGTCTCCTGACACACCGGGGACACACCGGGGACACACCGGGGACACATCGGGGACACATCGGGACACACCGGGGACACATGGTGATGTAGAGAAGACATCACTATGTGAGTCTCCTGACACACCGGACACACACTGGACACACACCGGACACACACCGGACACACACCGGGGACACACCGGGGGCACACCGGGACACACCGGGGACACATGGTGATGTAGAGAAGACATCACTTTGTGAGTCTCCTGACACACGGGGGACACATGGTGATGTAGAGAAGACATCACTTTGAGAGTCTCCTGACACACCGGGGACACACCGGGGACACACCGGGACACACCGGGGACACACCGGGGACACACCGGGACACATGGTGACGTAGAGAAGACATCATTCTGTGAGTCTCCTGACACACCGGGGACACACCGGGGACACACCGGGACACACCGGGGACACATGGTGACGTAGAGAAGACATCACTCTGTGAGTCTCCTGACACACCGGGGACACACCGGGGACACACCGGGACACACCGGGGACACATGGTGACGTAGAGAAGACATCATTCTATGAGTCTCCTGACACACCGGGGACACACCGGGGACACACCGGGACACACCGGGGACACACCGGGGACACATGGTGACGTAGAGAAGACATCACTCTGTGAGTCTCCTGACACACCGGGGACACACCGGGGACACACCGGGACACACCGGGGACACACCGGGGACACACCGGGACACATGGTGACGTAGAGAAGACATCATTCTGTGAGTCTCCTGACACACCGGGGACACACCGGGGACACACCGGGACACACCGGGGACACATGGTGACGTAGAGAAGACATCACTCTGTGAGTCTCCTGACACACCGGGGACACACCGGGGACACACCGGGACACACCGGGACACACCGGGGACACACCGGGGACACATGGTGACGTAGAGAAGACATCACTCTGTGAGTCTCCTGACACACCGGGGACACACCGGGGACACACCGGGGACACACCGGGACACACCGGGGACACATGGTGACGTAGAGAAGACATCACTCTGTGAGTCTCCTGACACACCGGGGGGACACCGGGGACACACCGGGACACACCGGGGACACATGGTGACGTAGAGAAGACATCACTTAGTGAGTCTCCTGACACACCGGGGACACACCGGGGACACACCGGGACACACCGGGGACACACCGGGGACACATGGTGACGTAGAGAAGACATCACTCTGTGAGTCTCCTGACACACCGGGGACACACCGGGGACACACCGGGACACACCGGGACACACCGGGGACACACCGGGGACACATGGTGACGTAGAGAAGACATCACTCTGTGAGTCTCCTGACACACCGGGGACACACCGGGGACACACCGGGACACACCGGGGACACATGGTGACGTAGAGAAGACATCACTCTGTGAGTCTCCTGACACACCGGGGACACACCGGGGACACACCGGGGACACACCGGGACACACCGGGGACACATGGTGACGTAGAGAAGACATCACTCTGTGAGTCTCCTGACAAACCGGGGACACACCGGGGACACATGGTGACGTAGAGAAGACATCACTCTGTGAGTCTCCTGACACACCGGGGACACACCGGGGACACACCGGGACACACCGGGGACACATGGTGATGTAGAGAAGACATCACTTTGAGAGTCTCCTGACACACCGGGGACACATGGTGATGTAGAGAAGACATCACTCTGTGAGTCTCCTGACACACCGGGGACACACCGGGGACACACCGGGACACACCGGGGACACATGGTGATGTAGAGAAGACATCACTTTGAGAGTCTCCTGACACACCGGGGACACATGGTGATGTAGAGAAGACATCACTCTGTGAGTCTCCTGACACACCGGGGACACACCGGGGACACACCGGGACACACCGGGACACACCAGGGACACATGGTGACGTAGAGAAGACATCACTCTGTGAGTCTCCTGACACACCGGGGACACACCGGGGACACACCGGGGACACACCGGGGACACATGGTGACGTAGAGAAGACATCACTCTGTGAGTCTCCTGACACACCGGGGGGACACCGGGACACACCGGGGACACATGGTGACGTAGAGAAGACATCACTTAGTGAGTCTCCTGACACACCGGGGACACACCGGGGACACACCGGGACACACCGGGACACACCGGGGACACACCGGGACACATGGTGACGTAGAGAAGACATCACTCTGTGAGTCTCCTGACACACCGGGGACACACCGGGACACACCGGGACACACCGGGGACACATGGTGACGTAGAGAAGACATCACTCTGTGAGTCTCCTGACACACCGGGGACACATGGTGACGTAGAGAAGACATCACTCTGTGAGTCTCCTGACACACCGGGGACACACCGGGGACACATGGTGACGTAGAGAAGACATCACTCTGTGAGTCTCCTGACACACCGGGGACACATGGTGACGTAGAGAAGACATCACAAAGAGCATCCTGCGTGATAGGAGACCTTTAATTCTACGGTAAAGTTATAAAGGTGCGTCTCCTCCTCCTGCAGGTGAGGTGGAGCTCAGAGTGCAGATCGTCAGCTTCCACTTCCTGGTCTCCTCCCCCTCCCAGAATGCACCTGGGCGCGTGGACAGCTGCTCGTCGCTGCAGGACGTGGTCGCGGCGCTGAGTGATGACGTCACGTTCACCGGATGCTATCGCTGCGCCGCGGAGCTTCAGAGCGATGCTAACGGCATCTACAGACCCTGCTACTCCTGCCTGCCAATCACAGCTGTCCGACGCTACTACAGGTACCTGAACGCACCACACAGCTGTCCGACGCTACTACATGCGTGCGTGCGTGCGTGCGTGCGTGCGTGCGTGCTGGCTCCCAGTTCAGTCCAGGATTGATTTTAAAATACTTGTACTTACATTCCAGGGCATTAAGATCCCAGACTCCACTAAATAAGATCAGCTGCTGGAGCTCTTCCGGTGTTGAGTAGGGAGGCAGTGTGCTCACATTGAAGAGCAGACTGAAGACTTTCCTCTTCAGCACAGCGGACAGTTAGGACTGGTTTTAAACTTTAAACTTCCCCACCCTTCATTTTATAGATCTGTAATGATTGTATTCTAACTTGTGTTTTGTACCCATTGGTATTTCCACATGTATCTTGTCATTTTACTATATTCTCAGATATGTTGGTTGATTTGTGAAACCCTCTGAGACAAATGTGATTTGTGATATTGGGCTCTATCAATACATTTGAATGGAATTTAATTTAATTCCAGGCCAGGTGTTCTCACAGTGAGGGGGCGGGGCTCCTCTCAGGTGTGTGTTCAGGTTCCACCTGTTCCTCTGCAGAAGATCCTGGAGGCTCCGCCTGACAAACTGCACAGGAACTCAGGTGAGACACACACACACACACATACATACATACATACATACATACATACATACATACATACATACATACATGCACGCACGCAGACACACACACACACACACACACACACACACACACACACACACACACACACACACACACACAGAAACATATATCTTTGGGGCAGTGCCTTCAATCAAGTGAAAGGGGAAGACACGTTTTTATTTTTGCTGTCTTCCTTTTTTGTAACATTATTATTTATAACTTTTTATTACATGGCTTAGTTGAATACTCGATTCTGATTGGTCAATTCAGAACACGTGACACGTTGTTAATCCAGTAGTACAGACCGCTGTCAAGGACTTATTGACCGTTGCTAAGGACGCTCACATCTGCAGAAAGAAGTCCGGTCGATTGATCTGTATACAGTTTGGAAAACTGTTTGCTTGTCTTTAGTTTTCCGTTGTCTCCCGTCTGAGAGCAACATGGAGGATTTTAATATTCATTTTAATATATTTGGAGAGCACAGTCATTTGGATGAATGCTTAGTGGCTGATGAGTCCCCGGCGAAGAAAATAAAAAGACAAGAGGGCCAAGGAAACAGCGGAGAAGTAACGGGGCAGGAACCCTCCTTTTCACGCAGCGGTCCAGACACAGACATCAGACGGCGACACATATTCAGTGTGCAGTTCCTTTGGCATGAGGGCAGGGGTATCTAGATCCTTATGGGCTCAGAACAGTCTCATAATGCACACATGCACACAGAAGGATCCACACTTGTGTTTTTCAAAGCTCACACAAATGTGTTCCGTTTCATATTCATGTAAATAAAATCCAAATACAGAAAAAAGTTTTAAATATGTATTTTTGATCCTCACATATTTGTTTTCCGTTTAAACCTCTGCACCTACACACAACCCGCTCTCTGTGCATGGATCGCTGTGCATTCGTGTGTGGGTTTTTTGAGACTCCCCTGACGGTGACCCGATTCGTACTTGTAATTTTTTCTATCTATAGCCAATCAGATGTCTCCTTCATTCTAAGCCAATCACATGAGCGTGCCCCCACGAGGGTATGATTTCTTGCGTTCATGACGTAGCGCTTCATGTACGCATTTTGCGCTGTCCGGAGCTGACAGGTCCATGGAGCCTGCAGGCGCTAATCTCAGGACACCTCCACTCTCAGGACATTGCCACTTTCCGAGCAGGAAATGCACGCAAATACAATCTTTTATATTATTAAGGTACAGTGCCACTTTCCGAACCATTAATGAATGCTTGTGTACATAAAGACGGCAGGCAAAACCGTTTTAAATGTGTGTTTCCTGTATGGCAAATACAGCTGCTTTATTTATGTCTGTATGAAGTTGTTGTGAGTGTGGAGGGAGCAGCTACAGGTTAGCTTAGCCTAATCGATCAGTGCACTACGAAGCCAGTGCTAGACAGTGAACTGTCAACGGGGGGGAGCCCCGCCGGTCATTATCGGCCGATATTCACTCTTAATAGTTTGATCGGTGCTCTCTATAAAGGCCGATCAGGAGAGCTGGATCTGATCGATATGGACATAAACGAGAGTGAAGTTTTAGCGAGCTGCATGAGAAACTGACGAGCTGTCAGGAGAGAGGGAGGGAGAGAGGAAAAGAGAGTTACTCCCATGTTATTAGCCATATCCGGTCATAGTCCGGTAATTACCTGCTAACGGAAACTCTGCTACACAATTCTTATTATTATTATTATTATTATTATTATTATTGAAACATGACCGGTAAGTTTCAAATTTGCCCGGTAAAATAAATTCTGTCCGCGGAAACCCTGCTCCGGACAGCGCAAAATGCGTATATGAAGCGCTACGTCATGAACGCAAGAAATCATACCCTCGTGGGGGCGCGCTCATGTGATTGGCTTAGAATTGAGGAGACATCTGATTGGCTATAGATAGAAAAAATGACAAGTACGAATCGGGTGACCGTCAGGGGAGTCTCAAAAAACCCACACACGAATGCACAGCGATCCATGCACAGAGAGCGGGTTGTGTTTGTAGGTGCAGGGGATTTAAACGGAAAACAAATATGTGAGGATCAAAAATACATAATTTAAAACTTTTTTCTGTATTTGGATTTTATTTACATGAATATGAAACGGAACACATTTGTGTTTGCATTGAAAAACACAAGTGTGGATCCTTCAGTGTGCATGTGTGTATTATGAGACTGTTCTGAGCCCATAGATACTTCCCAAGGTCTGACATCATGAAGTGTGCTACTTTTAAAGCAAGCAGCGATGTTTTCAAATCTGTAATCAAAAAGCTCCTCAAAAACGCTATCGAAGCAGTTCCTGCCGTTGCTACGTAGATCAAACGGTAACAACGGACTATTTCTCTTAGCGGATGCATGTCCTTTTAAATCAATACAACTATTTTTTAAATCAATAAAAACATTTCAATTAATATTGGGAGTCATGTTGTAACTTTGTTGAGAATGTGGCCGTGTGATAAGCGGGGTAATGTGCAGCGAGGCGCTCGTGATGGAGAACAGACTGTCGGTGTTCTTCATCACGACCGCCTCGCTGCACGTTATCCCTTACGTAATTCTTTAAGTTTTTTTATTATGCCGTTACATTTGTTTTAGGTTTTGTTATGAACCATTTTAAGTGTAAGTATTTAAGTGTGTTATATCTCGTCTCAGCTCCGGGGTCGGAGGTGAAGTTTGTTGCTCTGGCGGCTCAGAAGCTCCAGAGCCTCGTCATCCTCCCGAGGAAAACATTCATCCTCAGTGTGCGCAGCCACTTCCTGTGCGACGAGAACAGCGTCCCCCTCCACCAGGACCTCACTCTGCTGGACCTGCAGTTCCCAGGCTCACCATGAGAGGCACCACGTCCTGTTCCTGTGGTGGTCCCTGAAGGCAGCATCTCTCTGGTCCAATGGGATTTCTCCGGGTGATTTTGGATTATCACCTTGTTGGACATTTTGATATTTTTGCATTTTTTATGTCATAACTTTGTTGAATAAAAAGTAAAAATAAAGTTTCCTTAGTGTCTATGATTGTATTCAAAGATGTTGCTTTTGTTCTTCTAACTACAATAAGAGGCTGCTTTTCATTTTATAAAGTCATTTTATTTAGAAATATCTCCTCCTCCTCCTCCGCTGCACACGCTCCACTCTTTCATTTCAGTTATGAAGGGCTTCAACTCCACTTAAAGATATATTTGATTTCTCAAAATTCTGACTTTTTCTCAAAATTCTGACTTTTTCTCAAAATCTCACAAATTTTACAATTTTCGGCAAATCTCAAAATTCGCCTATTTTTCTCACAATTGTGACTTTTCAAAAGTTTTACAGCATTCTGACTTTTTTCCCCAAATCCCGAATTTATTCTAAATTGTTCCCCAAATGTTTGCTTTTTTCCCTCAAACCTCAGATTGTTTCTGTTGACATGCTAGTGCTAAACCAGAACAACTAAAACACACTTTCTTTTACATTTCTGTGAAAATGAACACATGAGATGTAACATTCTTTCTTTTGCTAAGCTGCGCTAACCACGTCCTAAACTAGACTCAAGAGTTTTGATCTCCATGAACAAATCCTCTTTTCACAAACATATATAATATTTAAAGGTACGTTACACGCGGGACGAAACATTTTCCTCAGGATCAGTTCCCTTTAGACGTTTCCTCGTCTAAAGGGAACTGACCCACTCTTTGAATTCAGTTGTGAAGGGCTTCAACTCCACTCAGAGAGATATATTTCATTTCTCAAAGTTTTGACTTTTTTCTCAAACTTCAGATTTTTTCATTAAATCTCACAGATTTTACATTTTTCGGCAAAATTCGCCCATTTTTCTCACAATTCTGACTTTTCAGAAATGTTACAGAATTCAGACTTTTATTAGAATTCAGACTTTTTTTTTTCCAAAATGCCGAATTTATTCTAAATTGTTCCCCAAATGTGTTTTCCTCACATTTCAGATTTTTTCCTCAAATTTTTAATTGTTTTCTCAAAACTCAGATTTTTTTCTCAAAATTCAGAAAAACTGCCGGTTAATATTCTGCAAGTGCTAAACCAGAATAACTAAAACACATTTTTAACATGTTAATCCTTTATGCTAAGCTGCGCTAACCACGAAATGAAATTAGACTCTCAGGAGTTTTTATCTGAACAAACAAATATAATATTTAAACACAAGATGTTAAAGGTACGTTAAACATTAAATATATATCCGTCTTCTCAGGATCAGTTCCCTTTAGACGTTTCCTCGGCCACTTCCATCAGGTCGCTCAGCAAGTCTGAAGCAAAACACACAAATATCACATTTAGTTTGAAACTTATTCATCCATTCAACTGAAAGAAAAATCATATTTCCAGCGCCTCATTAATCAATGACTTGAGATTAATCAACAATTTAATGTATTAAAAGTGTAAAATTGTGGCCTATTTTTTATGTTTTATTTTCACAATAAAACATAAAGAAGGAAAATATTAGTGCATTTTCTGAAAAAGTTCTAAAATCTAATTAATAATCAGAAAAAAGTCAAAGAAAAATCAGAAAAAGTTTGAAAATATCTTATAATATTACAAAATATACGACATATTTATTAATCATTAAAATAATACAGGAATAAATTAGACTTACTCATTAAAAAAAAAAAATTAAAACAATTTTGTCTAATAATGAACCTTTATTTATTATATAATTATATTATTATTACTAATGCATTATTGAAAATTACGGCTCCGCCCACTTTTGGGGGAAAACAACGCTGTCATTTGAACGGCGGTCAATACAAACTCTGAAGTTTTTGCCAATATGATCAGAAAAATTTGAAAACCGTGGATTTGTTGATCTTCAAAGAGCACGGTTACGATGGCCAGTCAGGCAAACTATTACATTAAATCATTGGACATCGACGAGCGGGCTCGATATATGGTTAAAGGTGGGGTAGGTACGTTTGAGAAACCAGCTCGAGATCGCTAGAATTAGAAAATACACAACCGGAGAAAATCTGCCACTTCCTCACAGAGCCCCTCCTCCAACACACACGAACGCGCACATGACCAATGAGGGCACGAGATAAGTTTGTGCACAGATGGAAGGCTGACAGGCAGGTAGGCCATCCAGTTATTTTAGCCGGGCCGGCTCAGATGATTGGTCGTGCTTTTTACAGTACTACAGCTTCCACAGGTGATGTTTTTTAGGGATTTTTTGTCAAAGCACTTCAGATATTCATTGCTATCGGGATGTTAAGAGCATTCCATGGAATATAACAAGTGTATCTCGAGCCGGTTTCTCAAACTTACCTACCCTACCTTTAAAGATAGCAGTAGGCGATCGATGTCCGTAGATGAGAGTAACACCTACGTCACTTCTGGGCGAAAATGACGGCCCCGCCCACTTTTAGGGGAAAACAACGCTGTCATTTGAATGGCGGTCAATACACTTTCTTTCTTTTTTAATGTTTGAGGTGCAATAAACGACACAGCAGCTTGTTGGCGTGATCAAACTATTATTTCCCGCCTCGCTCATGAGAGTAACAGCTGGAGAAATTACGGCCTCGCCTACTGATTTTAATTTAACCATATATCGAGCCTGATCGTCGATTTCCAATGATTGAATGTAATAGTTTGCCTGACTGGCCATCGTAACCGGGCTCTTTGAAGATCAGAAAATCCACGGTTTTCAAACATTTCTGATCGGATTGGCAAAAACTTCAGAATTTGTATTGATCGCCGTTCAAATAACAGCTCTGTTTTCCCCCAAAAGTGGGCGGGGCCGTAATTTTCGCCCGGAAGTGATGTAGGTGTTACTCTCATCTGTAGACTTCTTGTACTATTTTTTATTTGTATTGTTGTATTTTATTATATATGTTGCCTTGTTGGAGGAGCTCAGGTCAGAACAATTGCATTGCCATTTCTCCTCAGTAGCTGCTGAGCATCTGATGAGAACACCTCCTAAGAGGAGGGCCTTGAGTTTGCCCGCCCTGCTTTGGTCTCAGAGCTGTTATTTATATATAATTGATCATCAGTGAAGCGTACCTCCGTCGTTGATCCCCACGCTCGTTCCTCCGCCCTGTTCTCCGGTTCCTCCCGGAGGTCCTTCCAGCTCACAGAACAGTCCAGAGAACCCAGATTTCTTCTCGCGGCCTTCGTCATCATCGTCATCATCGCCACGGTGGAAGATCTTTGAGAAGAATCCTTTATCGTCCTCCTTCTCCTTCTCCCTCTCCTTCTCTCGCAGCTTCCTCCTCTTCTCCTCGTCGTCGTCTCTGTCGAAGATCTTGGAGAAGAATCCTCCCTCGTCATCTTTGTCCTCGTCCTCGTCGTCTTTACCGAGCGCTTTCTTCACGGCGTCCTCCACCATGTCTCCTGCAGGACAGACGGCCATATCGTCAGCAAACAGGGACAAAGTGAGACACAGCAGGGCACAACATGATTGTATTCACACTGAACACACGTAGGATCTGCTGTAGCTCCACAGATCACACGTTTTTATTGAGGGAAGATAGCTAGCTTGCTAACGGTCAGTAGACGCGCTAGTCGGCTTAGCTATGATGCTAATGGGACAATACGTTTATGCAACCCAGTCTCACGGCATTTCGTGTTATAGTCACGAAATGTAATCTATTGATTCGGGTTCACCAACACCATTTTCACCTTTTTTTCGTGTCACACAGAACGATTTTAAAAGCAAGGTATTTCTATTGGTGGTGTGTTTCGTGCCATGACACGAAAAAAAGGGGGAAATGGTGTTGGTGAACACGAATCAATAGATTACATTTCATGACTATAACACGAAATGCCGTGAGACTGGGTTGGTTTATGAGTGATGGCAAAACTACCCTTCTTTAAAACCCACAAAGTGTAGGGAACAACAAGAGGAGGAAAACTAATCTAATCAGCCGTGTTTAGCTTGCTAACGGTGTACTGATGCTGACATGTACTTATAAGCTAACGTGGTGTGCTAATGTTACGCAACATCTTGCAGAGGATGTATTTACAGCCAAACTGGAAATGAACCCAGTTTACTTTTTTTTTGGTAACTTTTGTTTGTTAGCTTTCTTGGGTTTAATACAAAGTCATGGTAGCATCTTGCTCTGTCAGAAACTGCCTTTTTATCCAGCTCTAATCCACATTTTCACCGAACACTTTTTACACCCTGGTGCTTATAATCTCTATATTGTAACTGATGAAGGGTTTTAGTGATGGGACGTCTGGGTCTGAAGTTATGAGAGAAACAAGCTGAGCTAACGTTAGCCGTTAGTTCGTAGCGGCTAAGTCCAGTCTCCACCAGAGAAACACTTTATTTTTTACTGGTTTAAATGGCCAGCAAACAGGGAGATGTAAAGTGAGGTACCACAGGATACCACATGGTGTCAGACTAGTTTAAAGAAATCATCCAAATCCACATTGAAGAGTTTATTATCTCTGTCTGTTTGTGCAGATTTCTACTCTAACACTAACACTTAGCATTAGCCTCGTTAGCATATTTAAACAGAAAGCTTGTAATATAAGAAATAACTGTGTTAATGTCCGTAATGCTGGGGTGCACAGCGGTGGGTTAGATCAGAAAAAGATCACTAAAGTAAATGTTGAAGAAGCTTAAAGGACCTGCAGCTGATTGGCTCATTAAAGTCGTTAGATCTGGAGAATATACAGATTATAAAAACTGAACAGTTTCTTTCTTTACAAGAAGACAATAGGAAAATCATTTAGAGAGACACAGACAGACTACAAAGAGACACAGACAGACTACAAAGAGACACAGACAGACTACAAAGAGACACAGACAGACTACAGAGAGACACAGACAGACTACAGAGAGACACAGACAGACTACAAAGAGACACAGACAGACTACAAAGAGACACAGACAGACTACAAAGAGACACAGACAGACTACAAAGAGACACAGACAGACTACAAAGAGACACAGACTACAGAGAGACACAGAACAGACTACAAAAGACACAGACAGACTACAAAGAGACACAGACAGACTACAAGAGAACACAGACAGACTACAAAGAGACACAGACAGACTAACAAAGAGACACAGACAGACTACAGAAGAGACACAGACAGACTACAAAGAGACACAGACTACAAGAGAGACACAGACAGACTACAAAGAGACACAGACAGACTACAAAGAGACACAGACAGACTACAAAGAGGACACAGACTACAAAGAGACACAGACAGACTACAAAGATGACACAGACAGACTACGAGAGACACAGACAGACTACAGAGAGACACAGACAGACTACAAAGAGACACAGACAGACTACAGAGAGACACAGACAGACTACAAAGAGACACATGACAGACTACAAGAGAGACACAGACAGACTACAAAGAGACACAGACAGACTACAAGAGACACAGACAGACTACAGAGAGACACAGACAGACTACAGAGAGACACAGACAGACTACAGAGACACAGACAGACTACAGAGAGACACAGACAGACTACAGAGAGACACAGACAGACTACAAAGAGACACAGACAGACTACAGAGAGACACAGACAGACTACAAAGAGACACAGACAGACTACAGAGAGACACAGACAGACTACAGAGAGACACAGACAGACTACAGAGAGACACAGACAGACTACAGAGGACAGACAGACAACAAAGAGACACAGACAGACTACAAAAGACACAGACAGACTACAAGAGACACAGACAGACTACAAAGAGACACAGACAGACTACAAAGAGACACAGACTACAAAGAGACACAGACAGACTACAAGAGACACAGACAGACTACAAGAGACACAGACAGACTACAAAGACACAGACAGACTACAAAGAGACACAGACAGACTACAGAGACACAGACATACAACAGAGAGACACAGACAGACTACAAGAGACACGACAGACTACAAAGAGACACACACAGACTACAAAGAGATACAAAGAGACAGCATACTACAAAGAGACAGACAGACTACAAAGAGACACAGACAGACTACAAAGAGACACAGACAGACTACAGAGAGACACAGACAGACAAAAGAAGACACAGACAGACTACAAGAGACACAGACAGACTACAGAGAGACACAGACAGACTACAAAGAGACACAGACTACAAAGAGACACAGACAGACTACAAAGAGACACAGACAGACTACAAAGAGACACAGACAGACTACAAAGAGACACAGACTACAAAGAGACACAGACAGACTACAAAGAGACACAGACAGACTACAAAGAGACACAGACAGACTACAAAGAGACACAGACAGACTACAAAGAGACACAGACTACAACAGAGACACAGACAGACTACAAAGAGACACAGACAGACTACAAAGAGACACAGACAGACTACAGAGAGACACAGACAGACTACAAAGAGACACAGACAGACTACAAAGAGACACAGACAGACTACAGAGAGACACAGACAGACTACAGAGAGACACAGACAGACTACAAAGAGACACAGACTACAAAGAGACACAGACAGACTACATAGAGACACAGACAGACTACAAAGAGACACAGACAGCTACAAGAGACACAGACAGACCACAAAGAGACACAGACAGACTACAAAGAGACACACAGACAGACTACAAAGAGACACAGACAGACTACAAAGAGACACAGACAGACTACAAAGAGACACAGACAGACTACAAAGAGACACAGACAGACTACAAGAGACACAGACAGACTACAAAGAGACACAGACAGACTACACACAGACAGACTACAAAGAGACACCAGACTACAAAGACACAGACTACAAAGAGACACAGACTACAAAGAGACAGACAGACTACAAAGAGACACAGACAGACTACAGAGAGACACAGACTACAAAGAGACACAGACTACAAAGAGACACAGACTACAAAGAGACACAGACAGACTACAGAGAGACACAGACAGACTACAAAGAGACACAGACAGACTACAAAGAGACACACACAGACTACAGGAGACCACAGACAGACTACAAAGAGAACAACAGACTACAAAGAGACACAGACAGACTACAAAGAGACACAGACAGACTACAAACGAGACACAAGACTACAAAGAGACACAGACAGACTACAAAGAGAACAGACAAGACTACAAAGAAGACACAGACTACATAGAGACACAGACAGACTACAGAGAGACACAGACAGACTACAAAGAGACACAGACTACATAGAGACACAGACAGACTACAAAGAGACACAGACTACAAAGAGACACAGACTACAAAGAGACACAGACTACAGAGAGACACAGACTACATAGAGACACAGACAGACTACAGAGAGACACAGACAGACTACAGAGAGACACAGACAGACTACAGAGAGACACAGACAGACTACATAGAGACACAGGACAGACTACAGAGAGACACAGACTACATAAGAGACACAGACAGACTACAGAGAGACCGACAGACTACAGAGAGACACCGACTACAGAGAGACAATCAGACAGACTACAGAGAGACACAGACACAGACTACAGAGAGACACAGACAGACTACAGAGAGACACAGACAGACTACAAAGAGACACAGACAGACTACAAAGAGACACAGACAGACTACAAAGAGACACAGACAGACTACAAAGAGACACAGACTACAAAGAGACACAGACAGACTACAAAGAGACACAGACAGACTACAAAGAGACACAGACAGACTACAGAGAGACACAGACAGACTACAAAGAGACACAGACAGACTACACAGAGACACAGACAGACTACAGAGAGACACAGACAGACTACAGAGAGACACAGACAGACTACAAAGAGACACAGACTACAAAGAGACACAGACAGACTACAGAGAGACACAGACAGACTACAAAGAGACACAGACAGACTACAAAGAGACACAGACAGACTACAAAGAGACACAGACTACAAAGAGACACAGACAGACTACAAAGAGACACAGACAGACTACAAAGAGACACAGACAGACTACAAAGGACACAGACAGACTACAGAGAGACACAGACAGACTACAGAGAGAACACAGACAGACTACAGAAGAGAACACAGACAGACTACAAAGAGACACAGACAGACTACAAAGAACACCACAGACTACAAAGAGACACAGACAGACTACAAAGAGACACAGACTACAGAGAGACACAGACAGACTACAAAGAGACACAGAAAGACTACAAAGAGACACAGACAGACTACAAAGAGACACAGACAGACTACAAAGAGACACAGACTACAAAGAGACACAGACAGACTACAAAGAGACACAGACTACAAAGAGACACAGACAGACTACAGAGAGACACAGACTACAAAGAGACACAGACAGACTACAAAGAGACACAGACAGACTACAGAGAGACACAGACAGACTACAAAGAGACACAGACTACAAAGAGACACAGACAGACTACAAAGAGACACAGACAGACTACAGAGAGACACAGACAGACTACAAAGAGACACAGACAGACTACAAAGAGACACAGACTACAAAGAGACACAGACAGACTACAAAGAGACACAGACAGACTACAGAGACACAGACGACTACAAGGACACAGACTACTACAAGAGACACAGACAGACTACAGAAGAGACACAGACAGACTACAAAGAGACACAGACAGACTACAAAGAGACACAGACGACTACAAAAGAGACACAGACAGACTACAAAGAGACACAGACAGACTACAAAGAAGACACAGGAAACAGACTACAGAGAGACACAGACAGACTACAAAGAGACACAGACAGACTACAAAGAGACACAGACTACAAAGAGACACAGACAGACTACAAAGAGACACAGACAGACTACAAAGAGACACAGACAGACTACAGAGAGACACAGACTACAAAGAGACACAGACTACAAAGAGACACAGACTACAAAGAGACACAGACAGACTACAGAGAGACACAGACAGACTACAAAGAGACACAGACAGACTACAAAGAGACACACACAGACTACAAAGAGACACAGACAGACTACAAAGAGACACAGACAGACTACAAAGAGACACAGACTACATAGAGACACAGACAGACTACAAAGAGACACAGACAGACTACAGAGAGACACAGACAGACTACAAAGAGACACAGACAGACTACAAAGAGACACAGACAGACTACAAAGAGACACAGACAGACTACAAAGAGACACAGACAGACTACAGAGAGACACAGACAGACTACAAAGAGACACAGACAGACTACAAAGAGACACAGAAAGACTACAAAGAGACACAGACAGACTACAAAGAGACACAGACTACATAGAGACACAGACAGACTACAGAGAGACACAGAAAGACTACAGAGAGACACAGACAGACTACATAGAGACACAGACAGACTACAAAGAGACACAGACAGACTACATAGAGACACAGACAGACTACAAAGAGACACAGACTACATAGAGACACAGACAGACTACAGAGAGACACAGACAGACTACAGAGAGACACAGACAGACTACAAAGAGACACAGACAGACTACAGAGAGACACAGACAGACTACAAAGAGACACAGACAGACTACAAAGAGACACAGAAAGACTACAAAGATGGCTGCTGGGCCTCCTTGTCCACATAATATAATGTAAACATTAAACCCACTTATAAAATGTGTATTTCCAGTTTTTTTTTAAGCGTCTCTCATTTTGAAACTAACACACTCTCCTCCTGACGCAGCATGCAAATCACACACACACACACACACACACACACACACACACACACACACACACACACACACATACACACACACACACACACACACACACACACACACACATACACACACACATACACACAAACGATCACCTGATCCTCTCACTCACCCATTTTCTCTGCGATCCACTTCGTCGCCATCCTGCCGCTCTGAGTGTGTGTGTGTGTGTGTGTGTCAATCAGTGTGTGTGTGTCAATCAGTGTGTGTGTGTGTGTGTGTGTGTGTGTGTGTGTGATGGTCTCTGCAGGTGAGTTTCAGGCCGACGCCCCTCTCAGGTGACTCCTCCCTCAGGTGTGTCTGAGAGGCTCAACCTGCTGAACCGGCTGCACCTGCACCTGCACACACACACACACACACACACACACACACACACACACACACACACACACACACACACACACACACACACACACACACACACACACACACACACACACACTCTCTTTATATATGACGACACACTATCTGATTCAAGGAAATTATCTATGGTAAAATCAGTAAACAAATTTTAATTTGTTAAACTAATTGTAAATGTAAAGGGAATGTTCTGAAAATGTTGACCTATTTAAATGTTTTTATTGTCTCAGTAAACAAACAAAAAAAGAGACCAGGAAAATATTAGTGAATATTCAGAAAAATGTTTTAATATTAAAATATTTCAGGAGAAAAAGGAAATTAAATCAGAAATGTTACAAAATTAAAAGAAGATATTTATTAATCATAAAAATGAAAACATTGATAAATAATTTGGAATTACAAAAAATGAATCTAAATTTCTGTCATTCAAAAATCTAACTTTTCACAATAATCTGACTTTTTGTCTCTTTATCTAATTTAAAGATAAACTAAACAAAAAACAGGGAATATAGATAAAAAATATTAGTGTTTTATCTAAATATTATCCAAGAAATGTAACAAAATATCTGAACATTTTACAACATTTTTTAAATTATTTTTCGTCATCAAACTTTTTTTTATAAAATACATTAAAAATAATTCTAAAAATATTCTGACTTTTTTATAAATAAAATCCCAATAGTAAATTATTTTTTATATAATCTTGCATTTTTTTCCGTCAAAATAATGTACCTACTATTTCTCTAAATCTTCCATCTTTTCTGTTTTTTGTTTTTTTTATATTTAAAGTTTCCCCTTTTTTTTCAGATTTCTTGTCATTTTCCGACTAAGCTAATAATGCTACGTATTCTTGAAATATTGAAGCTTTTTTTTGGGATATTCAGACTATTTTCTCTACATATACTGTATACGTATATTTATAAACCAATCAGAGCAGACCGGAATCTGGAGATGGAGACACACAGAGTGTAAAGTAACTAAGTACATTAACTCAAGTACTGTTCTTAAGTACAATTCTGAGGTACTTGTACTTTACTTGAGTATTTCCATGTTATGCTACTGTGTACTTCTACTCCACTACAGTTCAGAGGTACATGGTGTACTTTTACCAGGGCCGTCCCTGGCCAACTTGGGGCCCCAAGCGACATTGTGAGATTATGCCACAATAGGATAGCAACAACAAGGCAAGGCAGGCAAGGCAGGCAAGGCAAGGCAAGTTTATTTATATAGCACCTTTCAACACAAGGCAATTCAAAGTGCTTTACAAAAATGGAAGACATTTTAAAAATGGCATTTAAAATCATTAAAAAGAAAAGATAATAAAATAAACATTAAAAGAAAAAATACATGGATAAAAGTTACAGTGCAGTTTAAGATGTGAATAGTTCAATTAAAAGCAGCGGCAAAAAGAAAAGTCTTCAGCCTGGATTTAAAAGTAGTAAGAGTTGCAGCGGACCTGCAGGTTTCTGGGAGTTTGTTCCAGATATTTGGAGCATAATAACTGAACGCTGCTTCTCCATGTTTAGTTCTGACTCTGGGGACAGAAAGCTGACCAGTCCCTGAAGACCTGAGAGTTCTGGATGGTTCATAATTTAGCAGTAGGTCAGACATGTATTTTGGGCCTAAACCATTCAAAGCTTTATAAACCAGCAACAATATTTTGAAATCTATTCTTTGACACACAGGAAGCCAGTGTAAGGACTTCAGAACAGGACTGATCCACTTTCTTAGTGTTAGTGAGGACTCGAGCAGCGGCGTTCTGAATCAGCTGCAGCTTTCTAATAGATGTTTTAGTGAGACCTGTAAAGACACCATTACAGTAGTCCAGTCTACTGAAGATAAAAGCATGGACAAGTTTTTCCAAATCCTGCTGTGACATTAGTCCTTTAATCCTAGATATGTTCTTTAGGTGATAGTAGGCTGATTTAGTAACTGTTTTAATGTGACTGTTGAAACTCAGGTCAGAGTCCATGACTACACCTAGATTTCTGGCTTTATCTGTTGTTTTGAACATTGCAGACTGAAGCTCAGCGCTAACTTTTATACGTTCTGCCTTGGCTCCAAAAACCATTACCTCAGTTTTATCTTTGTTTAATTGGAGAAAGTTCTGACACATCCAGTAATTGATTTGTTCAATGCACTTACTCAGTGTTTGAATTGGAGCATAATCTCCTGGTGAAATTGTTACGTAAATTTGTGTGTCATCCGCATAGCTATGGTAACTTATTTAGTTGTTTTTCATTATCTGAGCCAGTGGTAGCATGTAGATGTTAAAGAGAAGAGGCCCCAAGATGGAGCCTTGAGGTACCCCACACGTCATATTTGTCAACTCAGATGTGTATTTACCTATAGAAACAACGTTTTTTCTGTCCTTTAAGTAGGACTCAAACCAATTTAGAACTGTTGCCGAAAGTCCCACCCAGTTTTCTAGTCGGTCTAGTAATATGTTGTGGTCAACAGTGTCAAATGCAGCACTGAGATCTAATAATACTAACACTGAAGTTCTGCCACTGTCTGTGTTTAAGTGGATGTCATTGAAGACCTTTACAAGAGCAGTCTCAGTGCTGTGGTTTGGACGAAATCCTGACTGGAACACATCCAAACAGTTATTTAAATGCAAGAAGTTACTCAACTGTTGAAATACAACTTTTTCAATGATTTTACCTAGAAATGGCAGGTTTGATATTGGCCTGTAATTGTTCATTACTGAGGCATCTAGATTATTCTTTTTTAAGAACGGTTTAATGACTGCAGTTTTCAGGGCCTCTGGAAAAATACCTGAGTGAAGAGATGTGTTTACTATATGAAGTAGATCTGAGGCCATGCAAGGAAAAACATCTTTGAAAAATCCTGTTGGAATAATATCAAGGCAGCAGGAGGAGGATTTCAGAAGTTGAATAATGTCCTCTAAGTTTTTACCATTAATCTGATGGAATTGTGTCATGGTGTTTGAATTGATATTAGGTGGACATAGGGACAAAACATTTGCTGTACCTGATGTAGAGGCACTGACTGCTTGTCTGATTTTCTGAATGTTGTCAGTGAAGAAGGAGGCAAAATCATTGCACGCCCTGGTGGATAGAAATTCAGATGCTACTGACACTGGGGGGTTAGTTAGTCTGTCGACGGTAGCAAACAAGGCACGTGCGTTGTTTTTGTTTTTGGTAATGATGTCAGAGAAGAAAGACTGTCGTGCGTTTTTCAATTCCAAATTATAAAGGCCAAGTCTCTCTTTATAGATTTCAAAGTGAACCTGGAGATTTGTTTTTCTCCACCTGCGTTCAGCTTTTCGACACTCTCTTTTTTCTGTTCTCACGGTCATGGCCTTTCTCCATGGAGATCTTTTCTTCCCAGACACTTCCTTTACCTTAGTTGGAGCAATGGCATCTATAACATTTTTAATTTTTGAATTAAAATGATCTACTAGCTCATTTACTGAGATGTTAGCAGGGGCAAGTGTGGATGAGAAATTATGAGTAAACATTTCCCTAGTATTTTCAGTTAAATATCGCTTTGTGGTTACCTCTTTCTGAACATTTTTGTGAACAGAAATAGAGCTCTCAAAGAAAACACAGGAATGATCAGAGAGTGCAACATCAGTCACCACAACCTTTGAGATATTCAGACCCTTTGAGATAATTAAGTCCAGAGTGTGCCCCTTATTGTGCGTGGGCTCCGCCACATGCTGAGTCAGTCCATAGTTATCAAGAACACAAAACAGTTCTTTAGCCCCTCTGTCCTGGGGGTTGTCAACATGGATGTTAAAATCACCAACAATGACTAAACGGTCAAAGTCAATACACACTATAGACAGCAGTTCAGTAAAGTCATCAGAAAAGCTTGCACAGTATTTGGGTGGTCTATAGATATTTAGGAACAGAGCTCGAGAGGAGCATTTCAGCTGAAGGGCCACATATTCAAAAGAAGCAAAGTCCCCATAAGATGTCTTCCTGCATTGAAGGGAGTCATTGAACAAAATAGCAACTCCACCCCCTTTCTTATGCATTCTTTCCTGACTCATAAAACTAAAGTTGGGAGGGGTTGATTCGATAAGAACAGCTGCACTGTTATTTTGTTCAATCCAAGTTTCCGTTAAAAACATAAAATCGAGATTGTGCTCAGTGATAAAATCATTGATTAAAAATGTTTTTCCTGCCAAAGACCTGACATTTAATAAAGCTAGTTTAAGTTTGTTAAATACACTATCAGTAAAAAATGTTGTGACAAGCTGTGGCTGACATGGAATCACTGCTAAATTTGATAACCTCACACAAACGTTTGAGCACTTCCTGTTTCTAAGCTGATTTACCGCTCTTAATCTATTACCTATCAACACAGATATCGGCAAAGCTACAGGCAGGAAGGGCCCCGGCATGTGCTGGAAAGAGTTGAGAGTGCCATATGCCCTTGAGCCTGGACCCAGCACATATCAGTAAAAGTTTGTTGCGTTTTGTACACACACATCCTTATCAGGCTTCGGAGACTGCAGATGCTTTCTTGAAGGGAGGGGAGGTGGTTGACGTAGGCACGGTGATGAAGACGGGGGAGACGGTGCGCGTCTCTGCTTCTGTGATTTTGGTGGGCGTTGTGGAAGGGCGGGGGTAAAGGACATGCTGCCAGGGGGGGGAGGTGGTTGACGTAGGCTTGTCTTCGGTGATTTTGGTGGGCGTCGTTGAGGGGCGGGGGTAAAGGACATGCTGCCAACCCTGCATATCGCCTTCATGCGGTCATCGAACTCCAGGGGGGAGGGCGAGGGTGAAAGGGTGAGCGGAGAGTAGAGAGAGCTGGGGGATGAATGAAGAGTATCCTCAAAGGCGTTGACAGGGGGGGTGACGGGCAGTGGAGACTCCTCCATTTGTGTCATAGG